TTAATGAGTAATGACAAAAGAAATGGTGTTTTCAAGCATTTCTGTGAGTTAAAACTTATAATAGAAAGGTGATCCAAACTTCTTTCTGCCTTGAAAAGCTTGCAAAGTTGGAGACTATAATTCCCTGGGTGAAATCTTCCACATCATGGGCCAAAAGCATTAAAAAAATATTTAGGGTCGGCACTACAAATTAGGGTCGGTCGGGAAAGCGGAAACAAACATATTTTTTTTTCTAGGCCTTACAAACAAAGATACATTGCGGGTTCCAGTAAATGTTCAACCAAGCCTCTTTCATTACTCCTCACTAAGATATTGACAGTAGTGAAGGAAAAACTTCAAGAGTACTGTACAGCAATATATTCAAGAACTGGTGTGAATCAGATGTGGATACTCAAAAATTCGAAAGAACTTTTAGACAATTTGAAATCACAAGATTTTACCAAAATCAACAGCTTAAAAACTTACAACTTTTCAACTTTATACACAACCATTCTCCACTATGAATTTAAGTCCAGGCTTTTTTATATCATTGACAGCTGCTTTTTTAATAAAAATGGAACTCGTAAATTTACTTACCTGGTCATTGGTCATTTGCAAAATTTTTTTGTTAAAACACATTCTGATTAAACACACAAGTACTCTGAAGTTGACATCAAAAAGATGCATGACTTTCTGATTGACAATATCTATGTGATTTTTGGAGACCAGGTCTTCCAACAATCTATTGGAATTCCCATGGGAACCAATTGCGCTCCTTTATTAGCAGACCTATTTTTGTATTCATATGAAGCAGAATTTGTGCAAAATCTTATACGTGAAAAGAAGAAAACACTTGCTGTGGCCTTCAACTCAACATTTAGATATATCGACGACGTATTGTCAATTAACAATGGTAATTTCCATTCCTACGTCGATACGATATATCCTGGTGAGCTTGAGATAAAAGATACCACAAAGTCTGAAACATCTATTTCATATACTTGGATATTTTACTTGAAAAAGGTAATCTAACAACCAAGCTATATGATAAACGGGATGACTTTAACTTTTCTATCGTCAACTTCCCTTACTTATGCAGCAATATACCTTCATCACCTGCATACGGAGTATATATATATCTCAGTTGATTCGATACGCAAGAGCATGCTCTACGTATGAACAATTTCTAAAATGAGGTAAATTATTGACAAAGTTGATGAAACAAGAATATCAGCAGTCTCGTTCAAAGTCATCAAGTTCTATGGTCGATACAATGACCTTGTCAGAAAAGAAAACAATTTGTCATTGAGTCAAATGCTGACTGACGTTTTTTTATACTAATTGTTAGTCCATTATTTATACAATGAATTGACGACAGATTTTTCCGTTATTTCTCGATCATGACAAGGAGCATGCGGCGGGTGTGACCAGTCGACAGGAGATGCTCACTCCTCCATGGCACCTGATCCCACCCCTGATGTTTCGGAGGTCCGTGTTTGCTCTGCTCCTATTTTGTATTGTTTTATGGACTTTGATATTGAATACTGTTCGTTATCTCCATATCCTTCATCCATACGTATTTAAGTGTTTTTTTTTTTTTCTCGACTTGCCAGAAAAGCCCGATTGATGTTCCGATTGTAGTAACGTGGAGTATACGAAGAATAACTTGGACAGGGAACCAGGGTAATGCTACAATCGCAACTTCTCGGAAAAACAACCTCTCGAGGTTGATAATCCGACCTCTGACGGAAAGACCCGAGATACGACATTCGGCAAACTTCGGCTGATTCCATCGCCGTCATCAACCATGAGGTACGAATTAAACCAATCAACAATCCTCGGCTGACTCCGCTACCCTCCATCCAAACAATCATATGTGCGAGGTTCGAGCCACCCGAGGAGCTCCGAGTGGTAGATGGTCGCAATCGGATCAACTCGCCCTTTTCCGTCGCACGCTAGAAAAAAGCGAGCAACGGAAAAGGGCGAGCTGATCTAATATTGGCGATGGTCGAAGCCTGGATAGCTGCAATAATGTAGCCCTCTCCGATACTTTTAATCTGATGTTTTCTGAATGGTGCAAATATTTTTTTTTTCATACGGGCTGCTGCAGGCAAAATGAATTGTTTTTACATTCAACTTACCTCTAATAAGACGAAATTTTTATTCACTGTCAACAACATAGCCCTTTAAAGACAAAAAACTTGTAAAATAACTCTGCGTGTTTACCAGAAGCTCTACTCAGCAGCCATGACACTTTACGTGTGACGTACCGCGACTTTCGCTTGAAATTTAGAACAACTTAATAAGGCATGTGTCGGTGTTTATAAATGATTAAGCTGAATGGTATCACAAAAACTTCGATCGATAAATAAAACCATTTCAAATAATATTTTAACAAAAACTGATATTTATGCTTAAAATAATTTAGGGAGTTCCTACAAGATCCGCTCCTGCAGAACCTAAATTCTCATTGGCTGTCCCAAAATAAAATGTATCAAGGTCAGTAAACATGGCGGATAAATTCAAGTTGTGATGTTGACATACACGAAAAATAACTGATATATGGATCGTAATAAATGTTTTTGGATCGATTTATATCTTGCATAACTACATTTTTGGAGTCAAGGTAAGAAATATTAATAAAATAGCCATATACTGAGAATTTGAGCCGGAATCTGTTCGGGAGTGATTCACTCTCGCAATTGCACCATTACGGAGATCCTAAGGAGTTGAAGCCCCCCCCCCCCCAAAAAAAAAAAAAAAAGAGGAGAGGGCTACATTATTGCAGCTAAAGCCCAGTCAACAGGGAACATCGGAAGTGAGTATTGTCAACTCATACATAGTGTTCACTTGGAGACAATTTCTTTTTACGATTTCTAGAATGTCAGTACTGAACGAGATAGAGAAACCACTTCATCCAGCGCTTGGGACATGGGGGCCAGAGGCCCTTTTATTTTCCCAAATCCACGATTATTCTAATATTATTATGCATTTCATCTCATCATAATGGAACTTTTTTTGGTTCCATAGCATACCCAAGTGTTTTTTCGACTGATAAAGAAGTCTCTTTTGTATTACTAGGTTGTATCGGTATGATCATATGTTAATTAATTGCTTTACATTGGAACTCAAAGTATATCTGAATTATTTAAATGAAAGAAAATGTATAAAATGTTTGTAATAATACAAGTATGCAATTTTCAGCTGCACTTTTTACTAAAATGGCTGTTATCTGTACGATTTATACGTATTTAAGTGGGTCTTTTTTTTCTCTTTGTCTGTGGATTCGCATCTTCGAATTTCTAAACCCGGGCTTTCACGGGTCGATGAATAGTGTTACAAAACTTATTGAGCCTAGATGATACCATTCTCCTCCAACATTTTTTTTTATAATCGATGTTCTAAGTGCACACGTCCCGGATTCTACATCTGCCTCTAGTTTAGGGATGAATGTAGAAAAACCAAGTCTACCATGAAGAAATACCTACCTTATATGCATTTAAACAGTGAATATATTACACGAAGCACCGATTTTGAAAAACGTTTGTTCTCCCAACAGCAAGTTTATGCTTAGTGAACATTGGCACACCCCATCTTAATTGTTAAAAAATATACATCTACTATGCTATAAACATAACAGATGTATATTTTGTATAATAACAATTAACCTATGCTAGTGAACCTTGACAACAAGCATTCTGTGGATTCCTTATGCATCGCGTGACTGACGCTATTTCAGAAAGCTAATAAAAACATACGCAATATTAGGTTTCGTATCTCCGGTTACGGTATCAGCACTTCGGTGAATAACCCTTCGCATTCGTTATCCTGAGTGATTGCAATTAGCTGGTAGCACAGGTCTTTATAGATCGCTTAGAGAAAAAAAAATTACACACACATTTTTAAGCGATCCAAAGGCCTGTGGCTGGTAGCTACGATGTGTAGCGTTTGTATCTATTGAAACGAAACATATGGAGATAACGAACAGTATTCAAGCTCAAAAGTCCATTAAACAATACAAAATAAGAGAAGAGCAAACACGGACCTCCAAAAAATCAGAAGTGGGATCAGGTGCCATGGAGGAGTGAGCTCCTTGTCATGATCGGGAAATAACGGAAAAAATTCGTCTCAACTCAGTGTATAAATAATGGACTAACAATTAGTATGAAAAACGTCAGTCAGCATTTGACTCAATGATAAATTTCATCAACTTATATATCGTTTTAGAAATTGTTCATACGAAGAGCATGCTCTTGCGTATCGAATCAACTGAGAGATATAAACTCCGTATGCAAGTGATGAAGGTATATTGCTGCATAAATAACGGAAGTTGATGATAGAAAAGTTAAATTCATCACGTTTATCATACAGCTTGGTTGTTAGATTACCATAAGGGTCCTATTCAAGTAAATATCCAAATATGACATATATGTGTCAGACTCTGTGGTAACTTTTATCTTAAGCTAACCATGGTATATCGTATCGACATAAGAATGGCAATTAGTTCAAATTACCATTGTTAATTGACAATACGTCGGATATATATCTAAATGTCGAGTTGAAGGCCACAGCAAGCGTTTTCTTCTTTTCACGCATCAGATTTTGCACAAATTCTGCTTCACATGAATACACAAAAATAGGTCTGTTAATAACAGGGTCTAATTGGTCCAAAAATTCCAATAGATTGTTGGAAGACCTTGTCTTCAAAAACAACATAGAGATTTTCAATCAGAAACTCAAGCATCTTTTTGAAAACATGTATTTTTCTTTCATTGGATGTGCATATGTGAAATGATACTGTAGATCTTTGGTAACTTTGTCCTACAATTAAGACTTTCTCGGTTCAATACGTTAATGATATATAATATTAATCCACTGAATATTATATTTCCTTTATTTCTAATGAACACCATTCCCGTTAATCAGACCATGAATGACAACACTAAGCAAGCCACGTGCATAGATTTCTTGAACAATGGCTGTTCCATCAGTTACGCATACAACGACGCAGACGTCTGTAATTCCATATTTAACATATTTTATTTTATTTCCAATGTTTTTTTTTCATACATTTGTAAATTTAAACAATAAATGCCTTTCTTTGTTTGTTAGCAGGGGAATTAACGTTGCAGCTATTGCAGAAAAAAAATTACATAACCCGCTCACTTGGGTAATGTATTTTTTCTACAACAGCTGCGACATTAATTACTGTACTAACAACAAATCTTGACATGAATCTCTCATATGCTCTAATAACCATACATAGATACACCTTATTAATAACATTGGTAAGGTTAACAATGCATATTTATCTGACTCCTTATGCTTTATAAGAGACCAGATTGAAGTAATTTTGGATCATGGTGTTCAAACCACGGATGAAAATTTTTCGGCACTTATATTTTTCAGTTCTTTTCTTCTTTTTAATACAGTGTACTTGTCAAATCTTTGCTGTTTTCATATTTCACATAATTTTTTTTTTATATGATACAATTATCTCAAAAGAAACACATGATTTTGACTTATGTATCTTTATATATGCTTATAAATATTGATGTCAGATGAGAGCTTTTCAACTTCAACAACTTTTTTACCTTGACCTTTTCTTTGACCTTGACTTTAAATTTGAGTTTAGCTTTTCAAATAGCTGCAGAAATGTTTTGGAATGAATGCTTTAGAAAATTCGGAGAGATTATTCAGGTTACATTGTACATATCATTGTACAAATGAATAACTGGTTTGTGATGGGATATAATATCCAGATAAAGGTATAGAAAAAAAACCCTCAGGAATACTTTGTGTCAAGGTTGATTTACATCATATTTTCTTTTTTTTTGTATCTTAGGCCAATAATAGTAATAGTATTATTCAGCAATAATTAGTAATGCCCCACCCCATAAGAACCCTGACACTGCGTCCACATATTTCACAATTTTGGAAAAGGTACTCTTGCTCACACAGAAATGATTGATTTATAGAAAGGAGCAGATTTCAAAGCATTAATTCATTTTCATTATACATGTATAATTAGAGCCCCCCCTTCCTACGGTACCGCTGGGTCAGGGGCCTTGCAATTCACAAATCTGGAAGGACTGTTGATCATCATAGCTATATAGGTAGTTCATCTGCTTAATACCCAAGAGCAGAGGAGGAGATATTCAAAGAATTAATGCATTTTCAATATTTAATTTATATATCTCTACCCTAGCTAACACCAGAAGCCATGACTCTGTGGCCATCAAATTCACAACTTTAGAACAGGCACCCTTCCTCATTATAACTATGTATGTAGTTAAATTATTTAATACCTGGCAGCAGAGAAGACAATTTCCAAAGATTTTATGTATTTTCACTATAAAATCAATAGAGCCCCGCCCTAACACCAGAACCCCTGACCCAGGGGCTGAGAAATTCACAATTTTAGAAGAGGCACCCTTCCTCACCATAACTATGTATGTAGTTAGTTTGTTTTTAAATACCTAGTGGCAGAGAAGAAGATTTTCAAAGAATTAATGCATTTTCAATATAAAATCTATAGAGCCCTAGAGAGTGAATCAGGTGACCTGATAAAAAGGGAAAAAAAATTGTGTCCTGGAATGTTAAAAAAAATTTTGTGGCGGGTCATATTTAATCAGTCAGTCGGGAGAGGGCAACCAAACAATTTTTTAAAGATGGCCTTATGTACCATTTATGCAGATTGAAGAGAATGAATGAGATGCTAATAGATATTTCAACAACAAAATAACATAAAATAACTCAGCAGTTGCTGATTTCTACAAAGTAATGAAGAAACTTGTAAAACAGACAAGACCCATGGTTCATTCCAAGTTCCTCCTGTTTTAGGAAGTGTCCATTATGCCAAGTTTCCACATTTTGCTTTGTTTTACGGCTGTCTACAATACAGACAATGTACACTGTTAGGCCTGTTTGTTTGTCTGTGTCTCTGTGAATTGGCACAGTGCTGTTTGTGTGTGGGTGTTCCAGTGAGTACTTGTCTAAGTGTCCTCCTCTTGCTTTGAAGGCTTCCAAGATCGACCACTAACTTTGTCCAGAACTTTTTGAAAGGCAAACACACAGTATATTGCTGAAAAAATAATCAGATAAAGTTAAAACTGCAACTGAATCTACATTTCAATGCATAAAATTTTTAACACACACAGAGACCTCAGGAAAACCATACATTGTACCATATGCATTTAACCCATTCACTACACTGTCTTCAGATTAAAGACTCAGAACTGGACAAAGGTCAAGGACTCGGATAATGGAGTATTTTTCTAGGTCACAATATTATCAGTAAAAAGTATCAGGATATGATAGTATATTATATGTGTAACTCATGAAATTAATCAATAGAAAACACTGAACAACTTACTGGTCGCTTCCCACTCTGACTGGGACAACGTACCCTGAAAAATAAAACAATGTTTACAACAACTTCTCTGTACCAACACATGAATTGATCAAAACAATATCTCTGCAAAAGTTTGACACATTTTATGAGGCTTACTTCAAATTTCAGGCACCCCCTCCCCTCAAATAATTGGAATTTTTCCAAGTCCAAAGGCATAACTCTGTCAAAAAAGGCTCGATCATTACCAAAAGAAAACTTGACCTAGATATTCTTATCATAAATCTGTATACTAAATTTTATTTCAGTAAGTGTTACCTCTCTCAAGAAAATGAACAGAAACTGCAAATAATTGGAATTTTTTCTAAGTCTAAGGGGCATAACTCTGTCAAAGATGGCTCTGTGGTACCCAACACAGATTTTGACCTAGATTTTCTTATCATAAATCTTTATATCAAATTTCATTGCAGTATGTGCAACCATTGCAAAGAAAATGAATGGAATCTTGTGGACAGAGTGACCAACAGACTGACCAACCAAACTGACAGCAGCAAAGCAATAGGCCCTCCCTTCTTCGAAGGGGGGCATAAAAAAAATCTTTCATAAACTGAGATATCAATCAATATGCCTATAAATGATACATCCATATAACTGGGAGAATTATGATGGTTTTCGCAAGTGACATAGTGGAAAAGAAGCCTATAGCCCTCATTCACCAATTATTTAACTTTATTTGCTTTCTTCTTGCCCCTTCCTCTCAAGGATGTTACAATAACATATATTACAGTTTTAGAGGTTACAAAATTATGATTCTTCTTTAACATGCGTGCTACAATATTTTGTCCCCATATCAACAGTCTTAAGGCCGTGTGAAGAACTCACCACTTTGGGAGCCCCTCTCTGGTTGCCACGGTCTGACCTATCATCAGTGGTGAGAATTTCCCGATATTTTTTTTCTGTTGCTGCATAATCATCTGATGCCTTGCCCAGTAGGTCCTCACTTGGATAAGTCTGAAATAATATCATGGCAGAAAATATTTGAATGAAATAATGCATTCCTCAGGCCATGGATTTCAAACTTTTGAAAGAGACATTTAGTTTGCATTTAGTTTGTCTGCTTAATATATGGAGGAGAAATGTTAAAAGAAAAAGAGGAATTTAACAAGATGATCAATAGAGCCTGACCCTTACACAAGAACTCCTGACCCTGGAAACATGAATTTCACAATTACGGTAGATAGCTCAATGTTTATCATCATTATCGAATTTCACAATTACGGTAGATAGCTCAATGTTTATCATCATTATCATCATGCTAACAGTCTGTCTGCTTGAAGTCTAGGTCTAGAGAAGATTTTTAAAGATAGCTTAATTTTTTAAGGTTTTAGCCCCATCTCTAAGGTCCCAGGGAAACAAGAACTATGAAATGCATGATTTTTGTTTCACTTCACTCTTAGATGTTCTATGCCAAATTTAGTTGAAATTAGTTCAGTAGTTCCAGAGAAGAAGCTGAAAACTTTTAATGTAGATGACAGATGAAAAAATAGAGCACTAGATCACTTTAGTGACAAAGGTCAACAAGTCACCTGAACTTGGGTCAAAAGGTCACCCAGGTAACTCAGATGACCTAAAAACTGAATTTTTTGTTTTTTCCATTTACCTCTAAACCTTGCATTTTATTAAGAAGGCCCCTGTACTCTCCCTTCTCTACATTTTCCGAGAAGTAATCTGCAAATGTCTTCTTGTAAACAAGTTTCATACCATAATCTTCAGCCAACCTATCAAAATTAAAAGTGCATTTGAGAAAATTAAAGATAAATAAAACTTTCATATTTTTTAAAATTGCATCTTTCATTTTATTTTAAAAAATATGAAATTTTTTTTTCTTTTTTCTTCCCTTTTAATCATTTATTTATTTATTTTTATAAATACTGATTATTGTTATATTTGCATTAATTTGAAATATGATTTTCTAAAGCCATTCAAATGCCACTAACTTTTCTAGCACTGGAAAGTACACTAAAAATTCTGGACAGTCCACCACTCCTTCTAGATGAAAGTTATATTTGGCACCAAACAAGGGCACATTTTCAAGGTCATCCAGTTCATAGGTCACCCTATAGACATCATTACCAAAGGATTTGTCTTCAGAGGATCTTAGCCTTTTCCTGGTAAATATAAATAAACCACACTGCACATGATAAATGCTGTAGTTATATGCTATAAAGTGACCTTCAGCTTACAATGATATAAACATAAAATGCAGTTAAACTTTCGTGTCACAGATTTGGGTATCTTGAATACCATAGATGTGAGTTAGAAGTCCAAATAAGTTCATGTTCATTTATGTAAAGAAAAGTCTTCATCTTTAAATCAGTTTCTCACTGTTCAAGATAACAAGGATCAGAATTACTGTCAGATTTCACCAACTCATAGAGAGCACAGAGACAGAGATTCAAAATCTTTCAATTTTATTTTACCCATTCTCTATCCAAAGTCATATTGATTTCCTATCAGACATTTTAAGTTGAGGAAATTCACAAGATATTCACACATAGAATATACACTTTATAAGCAATGGCTGGGATTGCAAGGTTTGAACAAAAACTGGAAAAAAAAACACAATGCATGAATTTATGGCTGTGATAGGACATGTACACTTGATGCTGTGATATTTTCTGTGAAAATTAATAAAAAAATATACACACACCACTATTTCTATCAAAGTCTGTCAGAGAATTAAGATTTCCTTCTCAGATTACAAAGTGAGAGACTACATATGGGAGACAGCTGTGATTTAGGCTGACTAACAAAACATCTCTTAAAGTATTATAGATACAATGCCACTGAGATCAGTAACTTTTATACTGTGTGATATTTATTGCTCATAATAATATTATGTTTTGTCTTACATGATTTCTAGAGAGTTGGGCGTTGTTCCAATGAAGTAGCCGCCCAGTTCCAGACACTCGCAGGCGTTCCGTAACATCATCTGAGCTTGGGGGAGGCTCTCAAAACAGTAATGAAAGGAAAACTGACAGCTGCACAAGTCAAACTTCATTGAGGAATCTCTGTACTGCCCTCGGAGCTGAACCTAATAAAAATCTTAACTGTCTGATTTTGGGGAAAAAAACACATTTAAAAAAATTTATGAAGACCTATGTGTTATCAATTGGATATTACTGTATGCTCAACATTAACACTTGTCCACTTGTCCGGTACCAATGAAAAATAAATACGGACAAGTTTTAATATTCTCCCCTTGGAAAAGGGCTGGGCACTTGTCCGATTGGACAAGTGCATTTTAATGTAAAGGGGTCTCTAAATAATAAAAAGAACGACTGTTGAAAACTAAATCCAGTCGATTGAGCTAAATCGGTAGTCTCAAGACGGAAGCTGTACATAAAATCTAAACTTCGATCCCGATATGTATCGGGATCAAAGTTCACTAATTGCATACTACTGAAAAGTCATGGAAGATACGAACCGAAGTGTGAATTGTTTGATGTTGACAGGTTCACTTGTGGACATTTATGTTATTGTCAGGAGTGGACAGTAAGCCTAAATTAAATTTCGTTTCATGTGTCTGTTGTATTCATCAATAACATCAAGAATCAATCAAGTGCATGACATGTGTAAATAAATGGACTTTATTTTAATTTTCAAGTTGAAACTATTGAACTTTATTGAAAATTTTTTGGACAAGTGAAGTTGAAATTCGGACAAGTAAATGTCTTGGTCACTTGTCCGAATGGACAAGTAGGAAAAAAAGTTAATGTCGAGCCCTGCTGTGATCGCTAAAATTGAATGATGCTAAAAATTTATTGCTTTTTATTTGTAATAATTTCTTTAGTGAGCATTTTAAAAATTGCTAAAATTACATCTTGCTAAAAATAAAATACCAATTTTTAAGAACAAAATCACTAAATTTGTGTCTTGCTAAAATTTCCACTTACACGCACAGGCACCTGACGTTACTTATTTTTCTTTTAATAAAAAAAAAAAATATACACATACCTAATAGTTTATTATTAGGTATGTGTATATTTTTTTTTTATTAAAAGAAAAATAAGTAACGTCAGGTGCCTGTGCTTACACGGTATAAATAATTACAGTGACAAACATAATGGACATCTGTAAGTCTACTGACCTTTGTACAGTCTGCCGTGATGAATTCTGCGGAGAACATGTCACCCGAGTAGCGATCATGTTGACTTCTTCCTATCATCTCTCGATATCGACTTTCACATTGTTCAACAGAAGTCCCAGCAATATCTGAAATAAAATTTTAAAAAAATCAAAATTTAATTTCTAAAACAAATTATAAACTTAAGATAAACTGTAAAGCAGAAGTGTGTATACTGACTGACCTGCACAGATGATTTTTGAGATTCCAGCTTTCTTCCACTTGAGTAAATCCCCGCCCTTCCCAGAACACAGGTCCAGGACCACGAGGGATCTCTTGTTTGTCTCCTTCTTTATCTGCTTCACTGTCTCTCCTGAAATGTCAATCCATACAATTGAACACAGAGATCTATTAATGTCAATCCATACAATTGAACACAGAGATCTATTAATGTCAATCCATACAAGTGAATACAGAGATCTATGTCAATCCATACAAGTGAATACAGAGATCTATAAATGTCAATCCATACAAGTGAATATAGAGATCTATAAATGTCAATCCATACAAGTGAATATAGAGATCTATAAATGTCAAAATGTCAATCTATCCATGTGAACATAGAGATCTATTAATGTCAATCTATCCAAGTGAACACAGAGATCTATTAATGTCAATCTATCCAAGTGAACACAGAGATCTATTAATGTCAATCTATCCAAGTGAACACAGAGATCTATTAATGTCAATCTATCCAAGTGAACACAGAGATCTATAAATGTCAATCTATCCAAGTGAACACAGAGTTCTATTAATGTCAATCTATCCAAGTGAACACAGAGATCTATTAATGTCAATCTATCCAAGTGAACACAGAGATCTATAAATGTCAATCTATCCAAGTGAACACAGAGATCTATTAATGTCAATCTATCCAAGTGAACACAGAGATCTATTAATGTCAATCTATCCAAGTGAACACAGAGATCTATAAATGTCAATCTATCCAAGTGAACACAGAGTTCTATTAATGTCAATCTATCCAAGTGAACACAGAGATCTATAAATGTCAATCTATCCAAGTGAACACAGAGATCTATAAATGTCAATCTATCCAAGTGAACACAGAGTTCTATTAATGTCAATCTATCCAAGTGAACACAGAGATCTATTAATGTCAATCTATCCAAGTGAACACAGAGATCTATAAATGTCAATCTATCCAAGTGAACACAGAGATCTATTAATGTCAATCTATCCAAGTGAACACAGAGATCTATTAATGTCAATCTATCCAAGTGAACACAGAGATCTATTAATGTCAATCTATCCAAGTGAACACAGAGATCTATTAATGTCAATCTATCCAAGTGAACACAGAGATCTATTAATGTCAATCTATCCAAGTGAACACAGAGATCTATTAATGTCAATCTATCCAAGTGAACACAGAGATCTATTAATGTCAATCCATACAATTGAACACAGAGATCTATTAATGTCAATCTATCCAAGTGAACACAGAGATCTATAAATGTCAATCTATCCAAGTGAACACAGAGATCTATTAATGTCAATCCATACAATTGAACACAGAGATCTATTAATGTCAATCTATCCAAGTGAACACAGAGATCTATTAATGTCAATCTATCCAAGTGAACACAGAGATCTATTAATGTCAATCTATCCAAGTGAACACAGAGATCTATAAATGTCAATCTATCCAAGTGAACACAGAGATGTATTAATGTCAATCTATCCAAGTGAACACAGAGATCTATTAATGTCAATCCATACAATTGAACACAGAGATCTATTAATGTCAATCTATCCAAGTGAACACAGAGATCTATTAATGTCAATCTATCCAAGTGAACACAGAGATCTATAAATGTCAATCTATCCATGTGAACACAGAGATCTATAAATGTCAATCTATCCATGTGAACACAGAGATCTATTAATGTCAATCTATCCAAGTGAACACAGAGATCTATTAATGTCAATCTATCCAAGTGAACACAGAGATCTATTTATGTCAATCTATCCATGTGAACATAGAGATCTATTAATGTCAATCTATCCAAGTGAACACAGAGATCTATTAATGTCAATCTATCCATGTGAACACAGAGATCTATTAATGTCAATCTATCCATGTGAACACAGAGATCTATAAATGTCAATCTATCCAAGTGAACACAGAGATCTATTAATGTCAATCTATCCATGTGAACACAGAGATCTATTAATGTCAATCTATCCAAGTGAACACAGAGATCTATTAATGTCAATCTATCCATGTGAACACAGAGATCTATAAATGTCAATCTATCCATGTGAACACAGAGATCTATAAATGTCAATCTATCCAAGTGAACACAGAGATCTATTAATGTCAATCTATCCAAGTGAACACAGAGATCTATTAATGTCAATCTATCCATGTGAACACAGAGATCTATTAATGTCAATCTATCCATGTGAACACAGAGATCTATTAATGTCAATCTATCCATGTGAACACAGAGATCTATTAATGTCAATCTATCCATGTGAACACAGAGATCTATTTATGTCAATCTATCCAAGTGAACACAGTAATCTATTAATGTCAATCTATCCAAGTGAACACAGAGATCTATAAATGTCAATCTATCCAATTGAACACAGAGATCTATTAATGTCAATCTATCCAAGTGAACACAGAGATCTATTAATGTCAATCTATCCAAGTGAACACAGAGATCTATTAATGTCAATCTATCCAAGTGAACACAGAGATCTATAAATGTCAATCTATCCAATTGAACACAGAGATCTATAAATGTCAATCTATCCAAGTGAACACAGAGTTCTATTAATGTCAATCTATCCAAGTGAACACAGAGATCTATTAATGTCAATCTATCCAAGTGAACACAGAGATCTATAAATGTCAATCTATCCAAGTGAACACAGAGATCTATTAATGTCAATCTATCCATGTGAACACAGAGATCTATTAATGTCAATCTATCCAATTGAACACAGAGATCTATTAATGTCAATCTATCCAAGTGAACACAGAGATCTATAAATGTCAATCTATCCAAGTGAACACAGAGATCTATTAATGTCAATCTATCCAAGTGAACACAGAGATCTATTAATGTCAATCTATCCAATTGAACACAGAGATCTATTAATGTCAATCTATCCAAGTGAACACAGAGTTCTATTAATGTCAATCTATCCAAGTGAACACAGAGATCTATTAATGTCAATATATCCAAGTGAACACAGAGTTCTATAAATGTCAATCCATACAAGTGAACACAGAGATCTATTAATGTCAATCTATCCAAGTGAACACAGAGATCTATTAATGTCAATCTATCCATGTGAACACAGAGATCTATTAATGTCAATCTATCCATGTGAACACAGAGATCTATAAATGTCAATCTATCCATGTGAACACAGAGATCTATTAATGTCAATCTATCCATGTGAACACAGAGTTCTATTAATGTCAATCTATCCAAGTGAACACAGAGATCTATAAATGTCAATCTATCCATGTGAACACAGAGATCTATTAATGTCAATCTATCCAAGTGAACACAGAGATCTATTAATGTCAATCTATCCATGTGAACACAGAGTTCTATTAATGTCAATCTATCCAAGTGAACACAGAGATCTATAAATGTCAATCTATCCAAGTGAACACAGAGATCTATAAATGTCAATCTATCCATGTGAACATAGAGATCTATTAATGTCAATCTATCCAAGTGAACACAGAGATCTATTAATGTCAATCTATCCAATTGAACACAGAGATCTATTAATGTCAATCTATCCAAGTGAACACAGAGATCTATTAATGTCAATCTATCCAAGTGAACACAGAGATCTATTAATGTCAATCTATCCATGTGAACACAGAGTTCTATTAATGTCAATCTATCCATGTGAACACAGAGATCTATTAATGTCAATCTATCCAAGTGAACACAGAGTTCTATTAATGTCAATCTATCCAAGTGAACACAGAGTTCTATTAATGTCAATCTATCCAAGTGAACACAGAGATCTATAAATGTCAATCTATCCATGTGAACACAGAGATCTATTAATGTCAATCTATCCAAGTGAACACAGAGATCTATAAATGTCAATCTATCCATGTGAACACAGAGATCTATAAATGTCAATCTATCCAAGTGAACACAGAGATCTATAAATGTCAATCTATCCATGTGAACACAGAGATCTATTAATGTCAATCTATCCATGTGAATATAGAGATCTATAAATGTCAATCCATACAAGTGAATATAGAGATCTATAAATGTCAATCCATACAAGTGAATATAGAGATCTATGTCAATCCATACAAGTGAATATAGAGATCTATGTCAATCCATACAAGTGAATATAGAGATCTATAAATGTCAATCCATACAAGTGAATACAGAGATCTATGTCAATCCATACAAGTGAACACAGAGATCTATAAATGTCAATCTATCCAAGTGAACACAGAGATCTATTAATGTCAATCTATCCAAGTGAACACAGAGATCTATAAATGTCAATCTATCCATGTGAACACAGAGATCTATTAATGTCAATCTATCCATGTGAACACAGAGATCTATTAATGTCAATCTATCCAAGTGAACACAGAGATCTATTAATGTCAATCTATCCAATTGAACACAGAGATCTATTAATGTCAATCTATCCAATTGAACACAGAGATCTATTAATGTCAATCTATCCAAGTGAACACAGAGATCTATTAATGTCAATCTATCCAATTGAACACAGAGATCTATTAATGTCAATCTATCCAATTGAACACAGAGATCTATTAATGTCAATCTATCCAAGTGAACACAGAGATCTATTAATGTCAATCTATCCAAGTGAACACAGTAATCTATTAATGTCAATCTATCCAAGTGAACACAGAGATCTATTAATGTCAATCTATCCAATTGAACACAGAGATGTATTAATGTCAATCTATCCAAGTGAACACAGAGATCTATTTATGTCAATCTATCCAAGTGAACACAGAGTTCTATTAATGTCAATCTATCCAAGTGAACACAGAGATCTATTAATGTCAATCTATCCAAGTGAACACAGAGATCTATTTATGTCAATCTATCCAAGTGAACACAGAGATCTATTAATGTCAATCTATCCAAGTGAACACAGAGATCTATAAATGTCAATCTATCCAAGTGAACACAGAGATCTATTAATGTCAATCTATCCGAAGTGAACATAGAGATCTATTAATGTCAATCTATCCAAGTGAACACAGAGATCTATTAATGTCAATCTATCCAAGTGAACACAGAGATCTAT